GATGGCAGACCTCATTGCCAGATGGCAAACCCCACTCCGCAGAATCATCGCTTTTAGTGCCGGGCTCAAAGCCCGTAAAACATTCGTGCCCTGCCTCAGACAAGGCTTGCACACTGCTGAACCGCTCACGCTCAACCGAAGACGAAGAAGTTACTAGCTGCCACGCAACAGTTCGGGTCACAGCCAAGCTCTCTCACCCACTGCTTCGGCAGGGCTCGCACCGCTGACCACTCTCAGCGCCGGGCTCAAAGCCGTAAACATTCATTCCCTTGGAAAAGAAAGAGCGAAGCTTGGTCACTGCTCACCCGACACCGAAGAAGAATTTACGCGCTGCAGGCAGCCGTTCGTCGCAGCAAAGCTCACTCATTCACACTCACTGACTCACGTACTAAAAGCTGGCAGAGCTTAGTCACTGCTCAACAGATACTCGCTGCTGGGGCAACAGTTCAACACCAGAGAGGCGACAGCGAAGCTCACTGACCGCTGATCACTCTCAGTGCCGGGCTCAATGCGCGTTAAAACATTCGCGCCATCGTGTGAGAAACGACAAGGGTTAATTACTGCGATTCAGAAAGCTGCCGTGCTACTGTTTTGGCCTGGGCAAGTTCAAACATCTACATTCGACGGGGCAGCAGACAGAACCATGCCTTGCGAAGTCGTTTTTGCTCTGCTTTCAGGATCTTAGCGACTCTGCGCGCTTCTACCTGCTTTGGACGAAAGACAATCAAGACATCTTGTAGACACGCAGACAATACCACACCTTTGCATCCTGACGCTCCTGTCGCAGGCGGGCCAGACGGGCGGACAAAGTCTCCTAGCAACAGGCAGACGAGGAAGGACCATTTATTTACGAAGGACGTTCTACACTCCTGCGGCAACTCCACTCTTTGAGGGGGAGGAACAGGAGGTGCTTCCACGTCGGACATCGTTGCAACACATGGGCCAAAAGAACGCTCGAATTACGGAGCCAATTCCGGAAGCTGTTCTCTAGGATGCTTGGAAGGGCCTCCTCTGTGTGAGAAAGTTCTGTTTGCAAGGTTCACATGTTTGCGAGCGTTCCACTTGTTATTTTGAGTTTTGAAGGAACACCGGCAAAATGCAAAACAGAGCTGGCGAGGTTTATATACTGTTGCACGCAACGGCCAGCTGTGCACGCAGATGTGGCATCTGCTCGACGAAAAAACGGCATAACTGGGCCCCAGAAATGGCTCCCAAATCTGAGCTCTAATCTGGGGCCCCGAATTGCGTGAGCTTGTATGTCCAACGAAGAAAGCCAAAATCGGGAGCCCCGTTTCGGTGCCCGGACTAGAGCTGCTTTTTGGAACCCGTTTCAGCTGGAAAACTGCACGGAAAAACAAAATTCCTTCCGCATGCTGTTTGGATCAACGTCCAAGAAAGCCAACATGCTGTGAAATGTGAGATACTTTTGGAAAATTTGCCAAACTTGCCATCGGCTGCCGTTTCAAGACAAGTGCTTCTGTTCTTGTTCGTACAAGATCTTTCCCGCACAGGGGAGGCCCTTCGAGGCTTCCTACGATTCTGTAGGAAAAAAGAGCTCCTGCAAGTGGAGCTTCCCAGCGCAAAAACAGCCCACGTACAGCAAGCAATCGAAACAGTTGAAGCTACAAGCTGAGATTAACATCTACCAGTAGATGCCGCAAAATCCTCGCATCAGCGTGCCAGCATTTAGCCGCAGCAAACTTATCAAGAGCATTACCACAGGAGGGCGGCGAGCCTCATGTGCTGCAAAAAGCAAGGAACCCACAGGGAACCTACCGTCAATGCTGTTAAACCATGGGAACCCATTAAAAATGCTGCAAAAAACTAAGAAACCCACAGGGGACCCAGCTGACATGCTGCAAAAGCCAAAAGAGCCTATTGGAAAACCATGGGAACCCACTTCAAATGCTGCAAAAACCCGGGAACCAAACAGAGAACCCACCGTATCGACGGTGAAAAACCATGGGAGCCCACTTAAAAATGCTGCAAAAAACTAGGGAACCCACAGGGAACCCACCGTCCATGCTGCAAAAACCATGGGAATCTACAAGACAGCTAAGTGAAGAACATACACAGACCACCCGAAATGCTGCAAAAAACAAGGGAACCCATATGTTGCCCACCTGAAGTGTTGCAAAAAACAAGGGAACCCACAGAGAATCCACCGTCGATATTGTTAAAAACCATGGGAACCCACTTAAAAATGCTGCAAAAACTAGGGAACCCACAGGGAACCCACCGTCCATGCTGCAAAAACCATGGGAATCTACAAGAAAGCTAAATGAAGAACATACACAGACCCACCCGAAATGCTGCAAAAAACAAGGGAACCCATATGTAGCCCACCTGAAGTGCTGCAAAAAACAAGGGAACCCACAGGGAACCCACCCCATCTGCTGCAAAAACCAAGGGAACCCACTTACACACCCTTTGGGTAGTATAACACTATTAGAACGGTGGAAGGTCCCAGACATGCCGGAGTCAATCAAACTCAGTTGGCAGCTGAGTATTATACCACCGGCTTTGTCCTAAGGATGAAATCATTTGCCCGCCACCTCTGCGCTCGTTCAGGTTCCCTCGTCTGTATCCTCACACCCTGCAGCATACAATCTCGAATCAAACTGCGGCGGATCAGTAGAGTCTGCCTGTCCTAGCTTTCTGCAAGCGGACAATTTCGGATCCAGATTTCCCATGCTGCGCGTTGCTCTACGTAAAAGACTACGGCGCTCAGCTTCGACCTTGCAACAGGCTCAACATTTCAGAAGCGCGAATGAGCATGATATGACGGGCTCACATTCGTGCATTCGGAAAAACCTGCTAGATGTCAACAAAGAGTTTTGGCTGCCCACATGGACTACAGCAAGGCTCACTTACTCATCCTAAACCCTACACCGCAACGCAACCACGTTTTGTGGCCTTCAGAAAAGAAGGCTGGGATTACGTCAAAGCAAGGCTTCGTCACTGACTAGCCGGAAAGTTTACCAGCTGCTCAGGCAACAGTTTGGGCAATGCTCATACATTCACTGGCTCAGATGGCAGACCTCATTGCCAGATGGCAAACCCCACTCCGCAGAGTCATCGCTTTTAGTGCCGGGCTCAAAGCCCGTAAAACATTCGTGCCCTGCCTCAGACAAGGCTTGCACACTGCTGAACCGAACCGAAGACGAAGAAGTTACTAGCTGCAACACGCAACAGTTCGGGTCACAGCCAAGCTCTCTCACCCACTGCTTCGGCAGGGCTCGCACCGCTGACCACTCTCAGCGCCGGGCTCAAAGCCGTAAACATTCATTCCCTTGGAAAAGAAAGAGCGAAGCTTGGTCACTGCTCACCCGACACCGAAGAAGAATTTACGCGCTGCAGGCAGCCGTTCGTCGCAGCAAAGCTCACTCATTCACACTCACTGACTCACGTACTAAAAGCTGGCAGAGCTTAGTCACTGCTCAACAGATACTCGCTGCTGGGGCAACAGTTCAACACCAGAGAGGCGACAGCGAAGCTCACTGACCGCTGATCACTCTCAGTGCCGGGCTCAATGCGCGTTAAAACATTCGCGCCATCGTGTGAGAAACGACAAGGGTTAATTACTGCGATTCAGAAAGCTGCCGTGCTACTGTTTTGGCCTGGGCAAGTTCAAACATCTACATTCGACGGGGCAGCAGACAGAACCATGCCTTGCGAAGTCGTTTTTGCTCTGCTTTCAGGATCTTAGCGACTCTGCGCGCTTCTACCTGCTTTGGATGAAAGACAATCAAGACATCTTGTAGACACGCAGACAATACCACACCTTGCATCCTGACGCTCTTGTCGCAGGCGGGCCAGACGGGCGGACAAAGTCTCCTAGCAACAGGCAGACGAGGAAGGACCATTTATTTACGAAGGACGTTCTACACTCCTGCGGCAACTCCACTCTTGGAGGGAGAGGAACAGGAGGTGCTCCCACGTCGGACATCGTTGCAACCACATGGGCCAAAAGAACGCCTGAATTACGGAGCCAATTCCGGAAGCTGTTCTCTAGGATGCTTGGAAGGGCCTTCTCTGTGTGAGAAAGTTCTGTTTGCAAGGTTCACATGTTTGCGAGCGTTCCACTTGTTATTTTGAGTTTTGAAGGAACACCGGCAAAATGCAAAACAGAGCTGGCGAGGTTTATATACTGTTGCACGCAACGGCCACGCAGATGTGGCATCTGCTCGACGAAAAAACGGCATAACTGGGCCCCAGAAATGGCTCCCAAATCTGAGCTCTAATCTGGGGCCCCGAATTGCGTGAGCTTATATGTCCAATGAAGAAAGCCAAATCGGAAGCCCCGTTTCGGTGCCCGGACTAGAGCTGCTTTTTGGAACCCGTTTCAGCTGGAAAACTGTACGGAAAAACAAAATTCCTTCCGCATGCTGTTTGGATCAACGTCCAAGAAAGCCAACATGCTGTGAAATGTAAGATACTTTTGGAAAATTTGCCAAACTTGCCATTGGCCGTTTCAAGACAAGTGCTTCTGTTCTTGTTCGTACAAGATCTTTCCCGCACTGTTTATCGATCGAGCTCTCGCAGCGCTGCTGAAAGTGAAGCCTTTTTTGCGTCTACTTGACACACTGCTTGCTGTGTCCGTGGCACTGGCACAGTTCTGTGACCCAGTTCTACGCCTGCCTGAAGGACAGGTTTCCGACCTTTCCTGGTGTGAACTTGCCCGTTCTAAAGATTTGGTGGTGGCTCCTTGATGAACGGGCAGTTCTGCGTCCGGGATGGCAGCCTGGTGCAGATGTTCTTCCAAGCGAGATCCCACTGCCAAACCAGATCCACTGCCACAAACAGCCGACAGGGTGCTGGTTCTGCCAATGGCGCAACACTGGGGGAGGCAGCACGAGTACTGAGGTGGCACAAGGCACACTATTACTACATTACGGCGTGCTGTTGCCTGTGCAGCTGTTATTCTTTCTCACCCAAGCTCTGCAGGCTCTTGTGCAGCACTGAGGCAAACGTCGAACTTTGCCGGCTGCTGGAATCAGATGGACCCCCATGCCAAGAGCTGGAGCTTTTTAGAAGTGCCACGACTGCTGTCGTTTGGCTTAAGACACGTGAGACCAGTAGTGAGCTGTGCGTGCTGTCCGTGTTTTGTAAGCTTGCTTTGCTTGCAAGGGTGCGTTGGAACTTGTTTGCCTTGGAGCTGTTTGCCTCTAAGTTTTTAACGAACGCTCGTTGCCTTGCAACGCAACCAAAAGAAAGAGTCCAATACGTTGACTTGAGGCGTGTTGCTTGCTTGGTTGTGTTTTTTTTTTTGCTACTTCAACATCGGTAATGGACCAAGGTGAGCCTGGAATGATTCGAAGGAACAGCAGGTCAGACGCTGCGCCGCCTTACCAGAGGCCGAGAGCGAGCAGTGTGCCTCGGGGTGCTACCTTTAGTCCGGTATCGAACTTGTCAGCTCTGGAACGGGGTTTGCATCCTACCGGAAGCCCTGTGGTGGGAAGCCCAGCTGGCTCGCCGAACCCTCTTGGAGGTGTGTTGCCACCTCCGCCAGGTTTGCCGGAGTTTGGTGGAGTTTCGCCAGTGAGTGCACCACCGCAGCCCACCGTGGAGACGTTTCTTTTCCATACGGTGCAGCAGCAGCAGCACAGCTTACGTCTCTCGTCCAGGCTCTTGTGAGCAGGGATGTGCCTGCACCACCTACTGCGAGGGGCAAGAGTGGAGAGCTTAGTTCCATCTCCGATTCGTCGGGGAAGATGGAGGTTGATGAGGGAGGCGCCCCCATCAGGAATCCCAAAGCTGAAGCTTATGTTCCCAAGTTGCCTGCAATTGATGGTGGGAAGATGAGCAGAGGCCGTCGCTCAGAGATCGAAGGGTGGGCTGAATTCTTGGAGCAGTTTTTGCCTTGGATCGCCCTCTTTGATGATAGGATCCCGGAAGAGCTTCATCGGTCGATTGCCTCTGAAGTCACCATCAAGCAGTCGTCGCTTGAGAAGGGACAGAGCGTGCGTTCAACTAGGACCTTCTTGTACCTGAAGCAAGCGTTGCAAGGGTTTGCTCGTGGGCTTGACTTGGTTAAGCAAGTGGAGAAGGAGCAGCTTGGCTCCCCAGCTGGGTATGAGTGCATGAGGAGATTGCATCAGGAGTTGTCTGTTGCGAGCCGCATCGAGGCTTCGACGCTTCGGAATGAGGCCTTGCAGTACCGCGCGAGCACTCCTGCCAATCGTCCACTTGACATGTTTCGGAACATCCAGTTGGAGCTTGCCAAGTTTACCCGCTTGACCGCAGGGTTCCCAGATCTTGCGTTGAGTGAAGCAGATCGTTGCATGATTGTTTTGAGAAACCTTGACGTTGAAGTGAAAAAGTATGTTCTTTTGCATGCTAGGGTTGACTCCATGGATCAGCTTGAAACTGCTTTTGAAGTTTTATGATGCCAACCTTAAGATCCTGAATTTCCAAGAGAAGGAAGGAAAGGGAGCAGCAAAGGACCACGCGAATGCTTTGACCTTCGAAGACAAGGGAAAGGGCAAGAAGGGTGACAAAGGAAAGGAAGGAAAAGGAAAGGACAAAGGAAAGGACAACAAGAAAGGGAAGGAGAAAGGAAAGGAAGGAAAAGGGAAAGGTGGAAAGGACAAAGGCAAGGACAAAGGGAAGACTGCAGCCGCAAAGGACGGCAAGCAAGGTTCTGGAAGCGACAAGGACAAGGAGAAGGAGAAAGCAGAGCGCTTGAAGAACGTCAAGTGTTACAACTGTGACCAGTTCGGGCACTACTCGAATAAGTGTCCCAAGCCCAGGAGGGAAAGAGCATCAGCAGCTGCGTTGCTCGAGCCGCAGGTTGCGGCTGCCTCTTTGGAGCCTCAGATTTTCGCAGCCGCGGTTGATCTGAGTTGTCCGGTTGTTGAGCTTGATGAGGAGGATTGCTCGGATTTTTCCCAGGAGGATTGGGAGGAGTTTGTTGCATCTTATGAGTGTGCTTGGTTTGAGCCTGTTGTGCTTGAGGGCGGTGAGCCTGTTGCGCTTGAGGGTTCCATGTTGCACGTTGCGCTTGAAAATTTTCCTTGTGACAGCCCAAACAGAGCCACAGTTGAGCTTGCAGAGTCCTGCGGTGTCCCAAACAGAACCACAGTCGAGCTTGCAGAGTCCCACCAGGTCCCAGACAGAACCACAGTCGAGCTTGCAGAGTCCCCAGAGTTGAGCTTGGAAGCAGGTCGTTTTGTTGCAGATTTTCAAAATGGCGTTGAGCATGGCATGTTGCATGTGGTAGGTAGACCTGACCATGGCATGGTAGCGCGCGAGACAGCAGCAGCCAGCCAGCAGCATGACACCATGGACTGGTGGCTCGTCGACTCTGGCGCATCGGCCCACATCATCAACGAGGACACTTTGAGCCGGGTGCACGTTGTGAGCCATAGTGAGTCTGCCAGTGAGTGTGTTTCTGCAACGGGTGACAGCATTGGAGTTCGGAGGTCTGCGGTTGTCAGGGTTCCATTCGTTTTGGTTTCAGGCGAGACGGTGGTGACAGAACTCCAAGTGCTTGTTGCTCCTGTGAAGTTTAACCTGCTGTCCTTAGGGCGTTTGCTGGGCAAGAGCTGGGTTGTGGATTTCCTGCCAAGTTTTAAAGTTGAGGCCGCTGGGTACGTTCTTCGCACGAGATGGGTCTCCAATTGCGGATGGGTTTTCTCGAGTGCTGTTGAGCTTGACCGTTCCGTTGCAGTTGCCGCCCGAGCGAGCTTGAAGCGTAGTGACGGCTGTGCTCCTTCATCTGGGAAGCCTTCCAAGAAGGATGGGGAGGAGCAACCGGGCACCCGAGGAGTCTTCTTCCGACTCGGAGCAGGAGTGGCGCCTTTCGGGTCGCCGCCACCTGGCGGAGCAGCACGCGGCGACTGTTACGAGGACGCACGAGGATTTCGAGGGATCCACGGTCGCCTTTACGGCAACCTCGATGGTGGGTCTTACGCCGGGCCAGAACCTGCTGTTGGTGCCAGCCGCGGAAGTGAAGAAGAAGACGGCAGAGCAGGCAAAGGCAGCTGCGAAAGCAGCGGCGGAGAAGTTCGTGAAGGAGCGCCAGGAGAGCGCCCAGTGGGCCAAGGAGGCAGAGGAAGCAAAGAAGAAGAGAGCAGCCAAAGCCGCAGAGGCCAAGAAGAAGGCAGCCGAGGCGGAGAAGTTGATCAACGAGGCCACGGAGGCAAAGAAGAGAGCAGCCGAGGCAGTGGAGTTGGTCAGCGATTCCCCGGAGGGGAAGAAGAAAGCAGCCGAGGCGGAGAAGTTGATCAACGAGGCCACGGAGGCAAAGAAGAGAGCAGCCGAGGCAGTGGAGTTGGTCAGCGATTCCCCGGAGGGGAAGAAGAAAGCAGCCGAAGCAGAGAGGTTGGTCGACGAGGCCACGGAGGCAAAGAAGAAAGCAGCCGAGGCGGAGAAGTTGGCCAGCAAAGCCGCGGAGGCAAAGAAGAAGGCAGCCACAGAGGCCGCGGAGGCAGAGAAGAAGGCAGCCACAGAGGCCAAGAAGAGGGTCGCCGAGGCGGCCGAGGTCACAGAGGCCAAGAAGCCCAAGGGCAGTGTGGCCAGAGCAAAGGCGGAGCCGTCTTCGGGGTTGAAGGACGCACCGCAGCCAGTGGTGAAGAGGCAGCCCAAGCCGCCCATGGTGAAGGCAATGCCAGCCAAGGTCCGAAAGATCGTCTTGAAGAGCCGGGCCCAGCGCGGGATTCCCGGGCAGACCGACACTGCGCTGAGAATGCTTTCGCAGCGGGCCAAGGAGAAGAAGAAGAGGGGCTACCTCATGAAGGCCATCAACAACGCTATGAAGAAGAAGGCCGAGGAGCAGAAGGGCGCGCCGGTCAGACGAACCTGGGAGAAGCATATCAAGGACCACTATGCTCAGATCAGGGGGCTGGAGATCCCGTTCGTGGAGGTGACGATTTCCGAAATCGTCAAGGAGCCTCGTGGGCCGCCGCCGGTGCCACAGCCGAAGACCCCTCCTTCTACGCCAGCGCGAGCAGGAGGTCAAGGTGGAGGGCGCGCGTGCAGCAAAGGTGCCGGAGGTCATCAAGGTGGAGGGCATGGAGATCAATCCCCCACCACCGGCCACCGAGGAGGAGACTTCCCACGCCGCCGAGGGGAGAGCTGGGGTAAGCTAGAGCGAGAACATGTTCTTAGATCGCATGTGCCGTACAATGCGTCCTGCCCGCAATGCGTGCAAGGCCGTGGGCTTGAACCCGCCAGAAGCCAGGATCGGCCCCAGGACTCAGGGATGAGAGAGGTGCAAATAGATAAGTTTTTCTATAAGGGCCTCGCCTTCCTGGTGTTGGTTTTGGTTGGTGCTTTTGCCCTCGGTGTGGTTCCGTACCGTGAGGTGAGCGGATCCCGAGGCCCAGCAGCCAAAGAAGCCATGTTGAATGACATGTCGGCATGGAGTCGTAGCGTTGGCTTGGTTGGTGTTGCTCCCAGTGAGTTGACGGTAAGTGTGAAGTCGGACATTGAGGGTGTTGTGAAGAACCTTGCGCAGAGTTTTGCTGATGGCTTGACCGCCGGTGCCATCGAAGTTGTGGACGCCCCTGTTGGTCGGCATGCTGTTGTTGCAGAGCGTGCGGTGAGAACCATCAAGGAAGGTGCAAACACACTTTGTGCTGGGTTGGAACAGGTCGGCTTGGAGCCTTGCGGGAAGGGTGTCACGTATCTTTTGATGCACGTTGCCCAGGTCTACAACCGGTACCAGGTGCATCCTGGATCGGCGCTGTCCCCAGAACAGCGGTGCCTGAAGACCACCCGAGGACCGCATGCCGCCTATGTTTGGGGTGCTGCCGTGCTTGCCACTCCACCTCCCTCTTTGCGTGACAAGATCACCGGCCGTTACGGCCACCAGAAGTCGGAAGTGGAAGCCACATTGTGCAGTTTAGGCTGCGGGATGGCACCTTGAAGATTGCGAGAAGCGCAAGAATCCGGATGTTGGTTCCTCTCACTTTTGAGGTGTCGAGCTTGAAAGGTGTTTGTCGCATGTTGCCAGGAAGAAGGGATGATGCCCAGAAGAAGCTCCCCGAGAGCAGTGGTGACAATGTGCGCGACCTCCCGTTGCCGAACACCGCAACCCGAGGACCACCACCAGAGCGGATTGAAGAGAACGGAAGAACCCCAAGGTGCCGAGCTTGTCGACTGCGCGGTTTTCCAGCAGACAAGGCATGGCACACCCAAAGATGCCGTGACCGCTACGCAGAGTTTGTGCGAAACTCTTTCGACCCCAGCCGGGCGATCCTCGATCAAGCCCCAATTGAAGAAGAAGCGGCTGGGCTTGATGATTTGGGTGCTGGATTTGATGTTGATCTTGGGCTTGATGTGCCGGATGATCTTGATCCGTTCCCGAATTTTCCGGTGGACGAGGATTTGGCAGAGTATGAGCCCAGCCTGCCTGGAGTTGAGAATGAGATTGAGGTTGGAGAAGAACTCGAGCAGATCGAGGCCCCGAGCCCGGGCGAGCTTGATTTCATGCAAGTGGAGCCTGAACCTCTTGAGGCACTCCCTGAAGAAGAGCGGGAGGCTATATGGTGTCTAGTGTGATGTACCGAGAATCCATCTCCTTTGCTGGTGCGTCGGTTTGCTTTGCCGGGGCTACTCCTCAGGTTGTTGAGCTTGGGGGGGAGAAGCTGCTTGTTGAAGTGCCTGCTTCTGCAAAGGATGATGTGACTGGGCACCTGCTTGATATTGGCTTGACCTATGAGGGCATGTTGCGTGAACTTCGTGCTCTTGAGTCGCTTGCTGTCGGTGATGTTGTGTGGCATGTTGATCCGAAGCAGAAGGTGATCTCTACAAGGTGGGTCTCCAATGCCAAAGTCGAGCGTGTTGAGGGAAAGGAGAATCCGCTTGTCAGGTATCGGGTTGTTGCTCGTGACTTTGCGCAGGGAGCGACCGCGGCACAGCTTGGCATCTCTGCTGCCACAAGCTCTGCAGAAGCGCTGCGAACTTTTCTTTTCTACGCCGGTTCCAAGAGGAGGAACATCGTCGGGTTGGATGTGAGCACCGCGTTTCTCTTTGCGGACCTCGACGAAGAAGATGGCCACATTGTGGTCAGGCTGCCAGACGGAGTGAAAGGTAAGGACGGCCGCCGCGGCTACTTACGCCTAAAGAAGGCCCTCTATGGTCTAAGAGTTGCAGCTCAGACCTGGTCGCGTCACCTGGCAAAGCTGCTGAAGAAGCTCTGTGGCCTGGAGCCCTGCGAGACTGAAGCTTGTTTGTTTGCAGGCTCTGTGCTTGGAGGCCAGCGAGTGGTTGTTCTTTGCTACGTTGATGATCTTCTCATCACGGGAGACAGCGATGAAGCTATCTACCATGTGGTGGAGCAGCTGAAGACCGCTGTGAAGGTGAAGGTCACAGCCGATCTGGACCGCGACGGTCAGATCACCTTCCTTGGAAGACAGATTGCCCGAGAGCATTCTAGTGACTCCCTGTGTGTCACAATGTCCGATTCCTACTACGAGGAGATCTACAAGGGTTTCTTCGGGAACTCCAAGGTCACCGCGTGCGGCACGCCGCCTAACCTCAAGGAGTTGTACGACAAAGAAGATCCTTGCTTGGAGAAGCCCCTGTCTTCTGAAGCTGCTGCGAGGTTTCGCAGTTCCCTGGGAAGGCTGTCGTGGCTTGCGATGACAAGAGTGGATGTTGTTTACTACGTGAGCATGCTGGCCCGAGGCCAGGCAAATCCGCTTGAGAAGCACGAGAGAGCTATGAGGGCTATGTTGCGTTACTTGAAGTATATTCAGGGTTTTAAGCAGGTAGTGAACCCGGTTTCTGAGGAGAACCTGCGCCTTGATTGCTATGTGGACGCTTCCTGGGGTAGCGAGAAGAACGTGGACAGGAAGAGCATCAGCGGAGGGTGCGTGATGTTGGGAGGTTTCTGTTTGAAGGCCTGGAGCCGTCTGCAACAGGCTGTTGCCTTGAGTTCTGCTGAGAGCGAGCTCTATGGACTTGTGGAGGGTGCGAAGGAGGCTCTCTCTATCCGCCGCGCCATCTCGCATGTCTTTGGGTGGGAGGATCTGCCAAAGCCCCATCTTTTCTGTGACAGCGAGGCTGCCGTTGCTATCAGCAAGGCTGATGGGCTGAGAAAGGTGAGGCACATTGACCTTAGGGCGTGCTTTATCCAAGAAGCGTCTCGGTTCAAGGAAAAGTAGCGGTGGGCCCTTGCTTGAGCCTGGGCTGGTTTTTGTTCAGGGCACCCGGGGTTTCCCCCTCCTCTGGTTTCCTCTTCGCCCTGTTCGTTCGGCCTTTGCAAGGTGTAGGGGCGGGGTAGCGGCAGATAGCACCAACCGGTGCTGGTAGTGCCATTGTGCGTCGCCCCGGCTGTCCGGGCTCTCTCAGCTTCTGCCACGGAGCTGCTGCATCTGAAAGCCATTGCACTCGATCAGGTCATTGATCAGGCTCAGGGACACTCGGCTTACGCGGCCCGTCTCGCTAGCAACTTGTGGCGGCCCTTGAGTGCAGCCAACTTCTTCGTTTCAGCTTTGGAAATTTTGCCTCGGCCCAGCGGTCTTTTGCTGATTGCGTACGCCATCAGGAATTTTCCTACACTGACAGAGGAAGCAGAGAGGGAGCTCGGAGCTCCACTGATCTCGTGCCTGCAAACAGGCCACCTGAGGCTATGAGATCCTGCCGGTTGCCGCAACCCAATCTGATCCTGCAAGTTTGCTTGATTTGCGCTGGATTTTGCCTGCAATTTGCCGCTGATTTTCGCTTTTCGTGTATTTTGCAGTACCAGACAGGAGGCAGCATGCACAACTTTCCATTTGCAGCACAAAGTGCCGAGCAGCCTGCAGCTGCGACGTCCGACAGTGGCCCTTGGAACGATCAGCCAGCCCGATGTGAGGCCTCACCGCCTCCAGGCCTGACGCAAGACCGTCCTCGGAGTGTCTTTGTGCATAGCTCGTCCGGTGCCACCGACAGGCGCTTGGAGAGAGGTTCTGCTGCTCACAGCACGCGCGAAGCTGAAGCTCTGCCACAGAGCCCGCCTCATTCTCTGCACTCCCTGTGGACCCGAGCCCCCACCCTAAACCCTGGCATTCAAACCTGCAGGCCTGATGTACATGAACCGCCGCTGGGAACACACCAGCCGCCACAGCCTGAGTACAGCCAGCCTGTGCCACACATAGTGCCTCCGACCAGTGCTCCGACGAGGACTCTTGCTCTGGAGTCTTCTGCCTACTGCGCACCACCATGGTCTACATGCTTTGGGCTGACACAGCCCCAGTCATCATATTTCGGATTGCCTGGTTTAACCCGTGACCAACTTCCTGCACAGTTTGCTTGGCTACCCGGCAGGTACGCAGCGAATCATGGAGAGCACCCTGGAGCCTCGCCCACTGCTTGGGTGCAACTGCCTGAGCCTCCTGTGATCTCCGCTGCTTCGGACTCGTCGGATTTAGGCGGTTGTTACTTGAGTGGGTTGGCAGCCAAACCGAACACAGTGAGCCCTAGGTCGCAGCAACCACCTGCAGGATGTACTCCACGGACTGCCGCATTGTTAGCATACCCGCTTGTCTCGGCCCCCACCCCGGTCCCCAGCTCGACACTGCCACTCGACAGGACCACAACGGCGGAGCTTCCGCCACCTTGGCCGGCCAGAGCCCTGCCGAATACATCTGGAGCTGATGCCGCAGTCGTGTTAAGCACTGGCATGCTGAGACCTCCGCCGGGTCTCCCGGATCCGCTGCCACATGCTGGCAACTCTGCCGGAGCCTTTGACGAACCACTGGTGACACCCCAGGCTGCGACCGCACTGCCACAGGAAGCTGCATCCTTTTCCGATGCTCCCCGCCCGGCTGCTGCCGCGGGCCCATTGCACACCCTAAGCACCAACGCTGCAAGCGCTGATGCTCGAGGCCACCTGGCGAGCTTCTCGCCAACAGCTAGGCCCACCGCTACCGCCGACGGTCCCACACCGACAGGCCCCGGTCCCAAGTCCGGGGGTGGGAACCAACATCACTTCACAACACCTGCACATGAACCCACAGACGCGAGGGTTGGACTCAGGACCGAGAGTTCAGAAGCCCCCTCAGGTTTCACCACGGATGATGCCAAGGCGAAGTCAGGTCCATATGCCCCAATGCATCACCGCAAGAAAGCACTACATAAAGCACAGCGGCAAGCCTCCCAACATGGCTTTGCTCTGTATCGCGGTCAGGTGCTTTCTTCTTTACATTTGCAAGCACCTCGACCGCACGAGCCTTCCACTGCTTTGTCGTCTGCACAGTCGGCCCCTCGGGACCTTACTGGGCGAGCGCAAGCAATGAGCAGCCAACGTCGGCAACACCGGACCCGCCGATGCAGACTTGTGTCGTGGAACTCCAGCGGCCTCACCTCCCTTGTGTGGGCCGAGCTCAAGGCCTGGATGCAGGCACACCTAGCCTCTGTTGATGTACTGTGCGTTCAGGAAACTTACTGGAGGGACGACTTACACTGGCAAGATTCCCATTGGACGTACATACACCACGGCTGTGCACAGGGTGCCGGGCTCCTAGTATGCGTGTCCAAACGATTTGCGCCAGAGGCCTCCCTCAGACACACCCCTGTAATCCCGGGAAGGCTGCAGCATCTTCGCATTTTCCCGGCCGAGGGTCATCAGCCGCTCGACTTGATACATGTATACCAGTTTGCTTGGCATCACCGGAAAAAGGACAACACCCATGATTACTGGGCCGACTGTCTTCACAGACGCGCCGAATACCTTCACAAGCTGGGTGCCGTGCTTAAAAGCATACCACGACGAAATGTCCTTTGCCTGATCGGCGATTTTAACACGCAGCTGCCGACAAAGGCGGGCATTGTTGGAACGGGGATCCCTCCCACTCCGGGCCCCCAGCTGGATGTGCAGGACCTGCTTCATGTGCTGGAGACTTATGGTCTCATTGCATTGAATACCTTTGGCTCTGCCCCGGGTAGTACCTTCATCAATGACAGTAACAGCACTCAGTCGCAAATCGACTACATCCTCGCTCGAGCTGCCCACAGTGACCGCCTCAGCAGGCAGGCCCAACCACTTACTGTTTGGCCGGTGGGCACAGGCCGTCTTGGCATGAAGCACATTCCCGTTGCCGGCTCAATCACCCTGGCCTGGTGCCCCTGGCAACTGCTATCACGACCCCAACCCACTGTACGCCCGCATCAGGTCGTCGCTGCACTCCGAGCTGACCCCTCTATCGAGGCCACCTTTGTGGATAAGCTTCGTGCCCAACTGCCGGCAGCAGCCACTTTAAAGGACATCGACCGAGCATTGCAGGACACATGGCTTCAGCTCCGCCCGAACTCGCGGGCGGAGCCCTCGGCACCGGTTGGCGCAGCAACTGCACTCACCCAGACGGACACATCAACACTGGTGCCCCGGATCTGGGAGCTCCGCGCGGAGCGCCGGCTCCTCGCACAGGATCGCAGCTTACATGGACAGCTTGCGCACTGGCGGGTTTCAGTGCGAATTCAGGAGCTTGAAAGAGTTGCCGGAGCCGCCCGGCGGCGTCGCAAGCGCCAATTCCTCCTTGAACAAATGGAACAGGCCGAGGCTGCGGCTCAACGGGGACATCTCACTGCTGTTTACGCTGTTGTACGCCGCCTGGCACCCAAGAAGGCCGGTCTCAAACTACATGTTCGTACACCGGAGGGCCACATGCAGGGACCCCGGGCAGAGCGAGACACGCTTATAGCCCATTTTCGCGAGCTGTACCAGGCTCCTTCGGCCCAGCCTGGCCGCGCCTTGCCCTGCACGGAGCATCTGTGTACAGAAGGTGCCTGCACTGCTGCTTTGATGCGTCTCCCAGCCCAGAAAGCCGCGCATCCCAAGTCGGCTCCAGGAGTGCTTTGGAAGCTTGGTGCCTCGATACTGGGCCCGGCGCTCAGTCACATCCTGAACAACTCCTACGCCAATGTGCCCAGCAGCCTCCCTCTCGAACTTCGCCAGGTTGCCATGTGTTTGGTGCCGAAGCCGGGACGTCGAGCCCAACAGCCCTCGGATGCTAGACCGATCAGCCTTTTACATCCTGCCAACAAGGCGCACGCCTCAATGCTTAATGATCTCCTGGCCCCCTTTCTTGTGCCGTACCTGGCCACTGCACCCCAATTTGCATACTGTCACGGCCGATCCACCATGGAAGCACTCCATCGAGTTTTCTCACACTTCCATGCTGTTCGGGCTCAGGCCCCCACTCGCTCTCGGATGGTGCAGCGCCGACGTGACAACACCGCTCGCCACCCATGCACTGGCGGCCTCAGCTTCTCGTTGGATGTGGCTCAGGCCTTCGATTCAATACCCCGTTGGGTTGTCGTTGCCGCCCTACGAGCTGCGGGGACCCCGGAGGCCATTATCACACAGGTCGTAGCACTGCATGCACAGATTCTTCTCGAAGTTGACCACGGCGGCGAGGTGGCTACTTGTCACACGGCTCGGGGCGTGAGACAGGGCTGTCCGCTGTCGCCCTCTTTGTGGGCAGCCGCGACCACCTTCGTCTACCACCGCCTTCTTGAAGAGCTCGGCCCTGCTGCGGCTCAGGTTCTCACAGTCTTCGCTGATGACATCATAGGCCAATGGCAAATCACCTCACTGACAGCACTGCAGGACAGCTTGGACCAGATCCGCCGGCTGACTCGTGTGCTCCAGCATCACGGGTTCCAGGTCAGCCCCAAGAAGAGTGTGATATTGCTTCAGGTCATTGGACCCCATGCCGAGAGATGCCTGGGCAAACTCCGCTTCCGTGACCAAGGTGTGGCAAAGATCAGAGTGGCACCGGACCTCTCCTACCCGGTGGTTAGAAGGCACACCTACCTCGGAATGATCATTGGCTACGGGGCTTTTGAACGTCACTCGGTTGACTATCGCTGCAAACGAGCTGCCCAGGTCTTTGCACGTTTACGGCAGGTGCTCTGTGGCAGACACGGCCTCAGCCAGCATAACCGACTCCGCCTTTGGCGCGCAATTGTGTGGCCCTCCCTTAGGTACGGTTTAGCTGCTCTACCTCTAGACCCGAAGGAGCTGCAGAGAGTGCGGGGCTTTGCGGCACGGCACCTCCGCGCTATTACACACAACCTGGGCCACGAAACGCATAAGACCAATCAGGAGCTTTTTGACGAACTCGGCCTTCACCCGGTCAGCCTCTTGAGACGGGAGGCCCAAAACAATTTCACTCGGTTCCAGGCCCTCCCTGACTTGCTACGCCTTGAAAGGACACGTCAATGGCATGCTCTGCTTTTGGCATCCCTGGTGGAGCCATCGAAGCAAGAGGCCGAGGACACAGGTGCTCCTTCAGACCTAAACCCTCCTCCCAAGGATGCCTCGACCCGAGTCGGCATGCGCCGCCATCCACGTGAACAGCCTGAAGCCCAGCATGTAACCCTAGTCGAGATCGATGCTGTCGCCCGCCCCTTTGCTTGTCCGGATTGCCCTTGCACCTTCGCAACAGCAGGCATTTTGCACACGCATCGGGTCAAAAAGCACGGGGCGGACAAACGGAGCAGCACCAGACGCACGACACAGCAGCAAAATCAGGTCGAACACTCCCTAGGCGGGGTCCCAACTTGCCGCTATTGTCTTACTGAGTTCAATGGCTGGCGTAATTTTAACTCGCACATTCTCTTCAACAATTGTCCGAAACGACCTGTGGACTCCGCGAATGCTGTTCCCACGGTCAGCGAGCAAGTTGAAGATGCCCATCTGCTAGGACATTCGTGTCGGGATGGGAGTTCCGTAGTGCCTGCCCACCCAACCTTGGAAGTGCCGACCACACGTCAGGCTGCCTCCGACTTCCACGCCCGCCTGGTTGCTGAACCGGCCATTGCAGCTCTTGACCCTGCTCGCCAGAAAGATTGGAAGCACATTGCTGGACTCAAGCCACTGCATGCCCGCATGGAACACCATTGCCCTGAATGCAACCTTTGGGCAGCTGACTCCTCTAGGGTTAAAGTACACTTCAAAGCTAAACACAAGGACCTGCGCGAGAGGCTCGAAAGCACGGAGGTTCAGGCGAAAAGCATAGCTGTGGGCAACCCCTGCCGATACTGTGGCAGGAGCTACCGTTCCGCGCCCAGTCGGCATGCAGTAGGATGTCATGTGCTTTGGCAATCTATCTATGCCAGCCTAGAACCTGCCAACCCCGCACTACCCCTGCCCTCATCATCGGGCCTCTCAGGTTCTGTTGAATATGACAGCAGCCGCGATGGAACAGGAGGAACAGCAGGAGTGGGACCTCTACTCCAAGTTCATGGGGACACTGCCGGGAGCCAAACCGAGCAGGCCCTTGCAACCGGCTCAGGGGAGCGAACAGCCACCGGCGAAACAGCCGAAGACGCAAACGCAGACCCAGCAGCAGCCGAAGGGCAAAGGAAAGGGAAAACGGGGCGGCGGCAAAGGCAAAGACCACAACAAGAAGCAGCTCACCCAGGACGAGAGGCAAGAGCTGACGGACCTTCGTCAGCTGTGCGAGCAACTGATCAGGCTGGCCCTTCGACACGAAGACGGCCTCAAAGCGCTCCAGCTCGACACCTCCTTTGTGATTTGGTTGCGAGTGGGGCTACCGGGAGGCCTGCCAGAGAGTCTCCACCAGAGCGCCGAGGCATGGCGAGCCGACCGGGATCAGGGTCTGGCCCGCACCTCCTTGCGTCATCAACTGTGGCTCCATCTATGGAAGGAATTCCAGCGACGACTCACCCCGGAGCTCCTGACAGCCGAGATCCAGTCCATGATGACGAAGTTGGGCTATCTGAAGGACGGACGGTGGGCCTTCCTCCGCTGGGAGGCCAACGCGGAGACGGGTGGCCGACTTGTCCCGGACGCGGAGAAGCAACCGCTCAACATGCAGGAAGTTCGGGAGAACGTGGACCACATCGTACGCCTGAGCCAGGACGCGGATCTGATCACTCGATTCTGTCCCACCCGTCCACTGGCAGCAGAGCTTCGGGGACCGTCAATCACATTCCTGTGCTCAGTGGCAAACCGCTCGACGCCCTCGGACCAGCTGCACGCAGCCCTGCAAACACTTTGCGCCAATGCCAGCTGCCAGGTTTTGGGCATGGCGATCAAGCCGGAGCGCTTGGCGCGCAGCCCTCTGGCCAATGCCCTGGCTCGACAGCTCCCGACTGCTCAGCTGGAGCCTCAGCTACCCCTAACTCTCCCACCGTTCCTGTTGCGCAGCCTTCTGCATCTCATACCCTTCCTAACGCCCCTAAAGCCCTTGTCGACCCTAATGCCTCTAATGCCGTACGATCTGCCCATGCCCGACCCCCTCAGGTGAGTCGACCGAGCCTCCTGAAGGCCAAGCTTTTGAACAGGTCCAATGTGTGCTACTCCAATTGCACCATGTTATGCTTGCTTTGGCTGCAGTGCCAATGTCGGCAGGATCTCCTGCCACGTGCTTTACTTTCGTCCCTCGAGGCCCTGCTAAAGGCTGCCAAGCCTTTTTCACTGTGGGATCTTTGGCAGTTCAAGCAGCTACTACGTCATTGGAGGGATCCCGGACGGCAGCACGATGCCGCAGAGTTTATCAAATCATACCAGGCGGGGGCTGACACGAATGGTTTGAGCGGTGTCTGGCAAGCACGCACCACTGCAGGAGAAGTGCGATTTCTGGGAGACACATCTCCTCTGCCTCTGTCAGTGCCTCTGACCGACGGCGCCACTGTTCAGCAACTCGTGACAGCCTGGAGTGCCCAAGACCAGGTACACGCGCTGTGGCGACCTCCTGAGTGCCTAGTCTTGCAGCTTTCGCGATATGGCCCACGTGGCAAGCTTCACACGCACATTAGCCTCGATGATGGAGTGGTGCAGTTTCCTTGCTTTGTTGCTTCGACTAACCATGTATGCCACGTCGCTTATCAGCTGCAAGCAGCTGCAATCCATTTGGGAAGCACTCCCCACGAGGGTCACTACAGAGCTGCCTTGTTTGACGAAGGGAACAAACTCTGGTATGCTGATGATGGCAAACATGCCACTTTAGCCAATGCCAAAACCAAGAGTGAGATCCAATCCAACTGTTATGTGCTTTACTTGACTCGTGTTTGATCTCGAACCGCTCGGTAGTGGCTGCCAGCTGTGCCACGCCGAGCTCAGTGAACACTGTTCAGCCTTCAGCCGATTGTCCAAGTGTACTCTCTCTCTCTAGCCTTGCTCGTTGTGGCCAGCTCCTGGCGTTGGGTGCAAAAGCAGGTGTCTGTCCTGACTGCAGTTGTGGACACACACCTCTTGTCACAACCTCCAAGCAAGCGCTTTTGCAGTCTGCAGACGCAGTTGTAGTTTTGGTAGGCTCGTAGTTAGATCCGTAAATCGGATCTCGTGTAGTGCTCTTGCTCTTGATGCCAAGCGCGCATCTCGGGCTCGCTGGTGGACAGCTACTCGTCCCGCGGCTTAAAGTTAAAAAGCTTTATCCAAGACCAGCTCAAGCAAAAGCAGATCTTTATCTTCGGCGTGCGTGGTGAAGCCAACGTTGCAGATTTGTTCACCAAACCTCTGAGTTGGACTGTTACCTTGAAGCACATGTGGGGGCTTGGCTTGCGTGACGTTGCCATTGTTGCTTGTGTGCTTGATGGCTTTGTTACGTTGTGCGGTGCAATGCTTGTTGGGAAGAACCATGTTAGCTTGCGTGACCGCTTTGCTGCCATGCCGCATGCCTCTTGGTTGGTGATTGAGTTCTGTGCCCCCGTTGAGTCGTCGATGAGAGCGGCTAGTCAAGACCTGAACTGGGTGAATGTGCTTACTGTGAGTGAGCGTGATGATGGTGCCAGTGCACAGACCTTGCTTGAGCTTAAAGCCATCTTTGCTGCGCAGATCAAGAAGAAGGGTTTTGTCTTCTTGGGGGCTAGTACCCCGTGTACCGGAGGCTGCCCATATCAGAGGCTGCGTGCCCGTGATCCAGCCTATCGTCGTGGGCGGTTGGCTCAGCACTGGAGGCTTCACCGAAAGCTCTGGAGAAGCTTGGTCGAGCTTACTAGCTTTGTGCATGCTTGGGCCATTGAGTGGCCACGTGCTTGTGCTTACTGGTCTTGGCGACAGACTGAGCATTTTCTTTCTTCACGCCCCTACGTCTTGCACGACGTTCCAGTGGATGGTTGTGCGCTTGACATGCGAGGCCGCGATCATCTTCTTATCGCCAAGCGGTGGCGTGTTGTTACCACACACCCAGCAGTTGCTGAGAGCATCCGTGTCTATCGTTGCTCTGGGAAGCATGAGCACTCGAAGGACTTCGACCTCAAGAGTACACAGCGCCACCCGGTAGAGCTTGTAAAGTCCTTCTTTGAAGCGTTGCGCCCTTGACTTTTTACGAGAGTCTTGTCGTTGTCGAGGACATGTTGTTGCATGTTTGCTGCGCAGCTCATTTGCTCAAACTTTCCGGTGTTTTCTTTCTTTGCCAGGACGTTTAAGATGTCTCTGGTTCCTTTCGCTGCCGAGCGTGCCATGGTGTTTGGCCCGGTTGTGGAAGTGCAAGAGAAGCTGCTCGAAGTACCGAGTGTCGGGCTTCTCGTTGTTGTGCTTGCCCCACTGCTTGTGGGTGTTGCGCTTGGAGTGTGCTTGCAGAAGCTGCGTACCGAGAGCTCCCGCGTCAAGACTGTGCAGGACCTTCTTTCGTTTCTGCCAAGGTCGGGCCAGAAGATGGCTGTCTTTACTTCTGCTTACGGAGACTGTTTCCACGTGCGTAGGGACTGCCACGGCCTCAGGAACGCACTTCCGAATCGCATCGCTGCTAAAGTGGCTTGCGAGTACTGTTTAAGGGATCTCCACCTGGTACCTCCGACAGCTACTGCGTCGAGGGGGGGTGTAGAAAACCAGTGCTCTGCCCAGTAGTGTTTTCGGTGCGACACAGAGTTTTCCTCGGTACCTGTATAGTTTTGGGGGGTTCCCCAAACACGTTTCAAGGGCCGCTCTAAACTCCAGAAACGCTACGACCTGTCAGCCATGTTCCCTCATGCTTTCAAGCCAAGAAAGACAGGGTTTCCACACCGTTTGGGGTCGAACAGAGCAGTGTTTCCACATGCTTTTGGGCAGAGGAACAAAGAGTTTCCACACCGTTTGGGGCCGAACACAGCAGTGTTTCCGCATGCTTGTGGGAAAAAAAAAACACAGAGTTTCCACACCGTTTGGGGCCGAACACAACAGTGTTTCCACATGCTTTGGGGCCAAGAAACACAGAGTTTCCACGCCGCTTGGGGGCCGAACACAACAGTGTTTCCACATGCTTTGGGGCCAAGAAGCACAGAGTTTCCACACCGTGGTGCTGAACACAACAGTGTTTCCTCACTTCTTGGTGCCGAACATAACCAATTACCGAATTTACTACCCTGAAGCCAGGCCACATTTAAGCCTTCTGTGCTGTTGGGGTCAGTTCGGAGCAGGTTTGAGTCGGTTTGAGGGGATGGTCTGATAAGTGGCGAGCAGCAATAATATGACTTGTTTGGTTGATGGTGCGTTTGGTTGAGGCTCTTTGGGTTTATAAAATCCGAGCGCCTTGTTTTGTCATTTATGGTTACACACAAATAAGGGTCACTTCCTGTGTGCCCCGTGACCTATAAAATCTGGCTCCTGTTTTCCCGTGACCTATAAAATCCGTGGTCCGTTTTTTTTTTTTTGTGTGTGTGTGTGTGTTTTCTACATCAGAGGTGTTATTGTATCGTTGAAACAGAGGCTCGTCAGGTTAAGGTTTTCGGTTTAGGATTATGCAGGGGTTTAGGGGAAGAAAAGTCCTAGTCAGGTTACAGGATGTTACAGGTACTTGTCCCAGACAACCCCCGCCCCAGCCTCCGCCTCCCCTCCCCCCCGCCCACCTCTCGTTCAGGTGTGTGACTTGTCAAGAACCTTTGCGGACACTCTGCGGATACTTTGCGGAAACTCTGCGGACAACGTTGAAAAACTCTGCGGAACCTGTGCGGACACTCTGTGGGAACTCTGCGGACAACGTTGTGGAGCTCTGCGGAATCTATGCGGACACTCGGTGGAAACTCTGCGGACAACGCTGTGGAGCTCTGAGAACAATATGCGGAAACATGTGCGGAAGCAAGGCCCGAAGGGCTTACGAGTTTAGAGTTCCCACGTTTCACACACGTTCCACGACCATGTTTCCACAAGAGTTTCCGCAACCACCGGCCGAGTTTCCACAAATGTTTCCGCAGGTTTCCGCAACAGTTTCCGCAAACACCGGCCGAGTTTCCACAAATGTTTCCGCAAACACCGGCCGAGTTTCCACAAATGTTTCCGCAGGTTTCCACAACAGTTTCCGCAACCACCGGCCGAGTTTCCACAAATGTTTCCGCAGGTTTGCACAACAGTTTCTGCAACCACCGGCCGAGTTTCCACAAATGTTTCCGCAGGTTTCCACAACAGTTTCCGCAACCACCGGCCGAGTTTCCACAAATGTTTCCGCAGGTTTGCACAACAGTTTCTGCAACCAGCGGCCGAGTTTCCACAAATGTTTCCGCAGGTTTCCACACCAGTTTCCGCAACGATCGGCCGAGTTTCCACACAAGTTTCCAGGTTTCCACACAAGTTTCCGCAAGTTTCCGCGGACGCCAACCAAGTTTCCACAACAGTCGCCAGGCGGGGTTTCCACAACATCGTTCGCTTGGCAGAAAAAAATGCTCAAATTTTCGTAATCTACTTTTTGTAAAAAAAATGCATGCGGCTTTGGGTTTGGGAGTTTGGGGCTAAAGCTTAAGCCTAGGGCCTGGGCTTGGGCTAGGAGTGTAAGTCGGTGTAGGCGTTTAGACTAGAGTTTAAAGTTTAAAGTCTAAGGGACAGGCGTGACAGGCGTTTACCCTGTTGCTCTTCGACATCTCTCGAGCTGGAATGCGGGAATTCTACAAAAATGAAGCTTCAAGCAGGCCCCGAACTGTGGGCACAAAGCCAGCCCCAAGGTGTGGAAACACAGGCCAGGTACTATGGAAAAACGACACCAGAAATTGTGGAAACACAGGCCTTGTGCATCGAAAAAGCAAGCCCAAATTTGTGGAAACGCATGCCCGGCGGTATCGAAAAACGACACCAGAAACTGTGGAAACACGGGCCTTGACCACTGAAAAAGCAAGCCCAAATTTGTGGAAACGCATGCCAGGCACTATGCATAAACAGGACCAGGAACTGTGGAAACACAGGCCCCGAACTGTGGAAACACGAGGCCGGGAACTGTGGAAACATAGGTCCCGAACTGTGGCAAATCGTGGTCTTGCAGGCCAAAATATGGAGTTTAGAAAACGTGTTTGGGGAACCCTCCAATGTATAGTTTGTATAGTTTTGCTAGTTTCAGGTGGTCAGTGCCTGTAGAACGTAGTTTGAGCTTGCGTGACGGTTTTGCGGTAGCCTCAACCTGTTTTCCCTTGTTTTGTAGTGCTTGGGAGCTTTTAAGAGGTGCCACGACTACTGTCGTTTGGCTCAAGACACGTGAGACCAGCAGTGAGCTGTGCGTGCTAAAAGTGTGAACTGTCCGAGTGTTTTGTGAGCTTGCTTTGCTTGCAAGGGTGCTTGGAACTTGTTTGCCTTAAACCTGGAGAGCTGTTCGCCTTCTAGGTTTTTAACGGTCTGCATCATGCTTGGAGGTCCAGAACCACGTCTGCAATACCTTTCAGCCCCAACAAACCTCCAAATTGGCTGAACAAACAGCCATATCTTGGAATGTTGGGCCACGAGCAAGTTGGTGGACGCCACTCGCCTCGCCCACTCGAGCGGAAACCTTCGTGTCCAGCGGATACTGTGCCAGGAGAACTCAACCTCGAGAGCGGTTCCCATCCCTGAAATTGAGCTCCGGGAAGAAGTGCACAAGAAGGCCGTGCTGGCTCTTCTTGTCCTCCGCCGGAAACGCGGAGCGCCTATTCAGGCCCCTGCGGAGAGAGCTTTGGTGTGATCATGTCAGAATGGGTCATTCGCATTCCGTACGCGGCCTTGTTGCGACACAGGGGCTGCCCTGCTTTCGCTTGTCAAGGTGCTGAGGCTGACATTGCGGCAGCGATCGCACCGGCTGAGCATAATGGGCCTAAAGGATTTTTCCTATATGGCCAATCTGGTGGCGAAGAGCACCTTCC